GACAACCACTCCTCTATCTTTAACATTCCCCCAGGATTCACGATTCAGCCCTGGTTCTCCCCAGGCTCCAAACCCACTCTACCCTCAGTGTGTGTTAGGGAGGTCTGGTTAAGACAGGGAGAATAGGGGGCGGTGGCAAGTGTATCAGATTGGGAGGCGGGCGGGGATCACAAGGTAGGGATGGAAGGAAAGTCCAAAATACAAAATAGCGGGGGGGGGGGGGGAGGGGGGGGGGGGGGGGGGGGGGAGTGCAGTGAGGAGATGGAGCATCGTGGGAACAGGTGAGATGTTAAAAAAAAAAAAAAAAAAAAAAAAGACAGGGAGAATAATGCATTCAGATTGTAGCCTCCAAGGTATTCCCATCTGGGGTGCAGGGAGTAGGGAGGTAAGTCAGAGCCTGTGGTGGTGCCTTTTTGCTGGGTCTGAGGGCAGTCAGGTCAGGCCTAGGCACATGGATGTCTGGGAGACCGCCACTGCTGACTCCCTCCCTGTCACCCAGAGTTACAACCAGGCCAGGCCAATCACAATTAAAATCACTGCAGTTCTCGTCCTGCCACAAAATTAAAGTGTACCCAAACCCCTAGCCCTACCACAGGTCTCTGACCTTCCATCTCAGAATACAAGGAGGCCCTCCATCTTTTTTACCTAAAGCCTGAACTTCAAACCAGGTTGGGCCTGTGCGTAGTGGCAGCAAAAGCCGCAGCCATAATATGAAGCATACAAATAACCTGAGAAATCCCATTTGCATGTCATTCACTCAGAACTGACCTGAAGGTGTGCACAAGTTAAGAAGGACAGATCTACACACTCATGGGCATGGACACATTCCACACTTGCTGGGAAGAATGAGTGACCCGAGAGGCACCTTTTTCCCAGCCGCAAGCTGATGTACACGTATGCCATTCACGTGTCTTCATTTATGCCTCTGTATTGTATATTCATTGAGCCAGTGCAAACACATCTCCTGGTGGGGGGCATCGTTCAATGCAGCGCCAGCCCCCACTTGTCCTGGGGGGCAGTCAGGAGGGATCTGGTCAGCTCATAATCTCCTAGGACAAAGGCGCCGCTCCCTTTCCAGCACTACATCCAGCAGCATCATCTTGGGATGGTTTTCATCAAACATGAACAGCATGAGGTAGCAGATATGGTGTGACAGGCTCAGGGCCATGGACAGCTGACTGCTGGGGAAGCAGCATAAGGCATGGGCATCTGTGGGTGGCACCATGACAAGCCTCTATCCCCACACAGCCCCTGACCCCACACAGCCTGTGCCCAAATGGCATTCAAATCTCCCTGGGTGGTTTTCGGGTACTCGATGCCCATCTCTCACCTGCTCATTAGCACTGCCTTGTGTTGGTTACTCAGGACCTGGGGAGAGGGGTGGCGGCTGTTGATCCAGGATGGGCGACACCTCACACCCAGAGTCCACCTGGCTGCAGGCCAGCAAGCAAGCCCAAGTGGCTCAGCTCTAGACACTGGGCCTCAGCTCCTCTGGCTTGCACTTTCTATTTATACTTTGCACAAAGGCAACAGAAGGAGGTTAACATCAGCTGCTGTGACATGGAAGTCTATGCGCCAGGGAGACCTTCTAAAAATGTTGTCTTAAGTCCTTTTCCTTCTAATAAAATCTATACAAATACACACATGCAAGCCTGAAACTACTATAAATGAAATATTAGGTGTTTTAAAACCCATAAACACACAAACACAAAAACAGCCACTTTGATTGAGGAGAGAGTGGGACGGTAAAGCAGCTGACTCCCAAAAAGCCCCACCAAGCCTTAGGACAGGACAGGCAGCCTGAATACTACGAGGCCACATGGTGGTTACAGAGGATGACAGTTCCCACAGGTACTTGTCAGGCACTGTGCTAGCTTCTCACTCACAGAGTCTCAGAACACCGCCTCCCCTGTGAGGGGAGGCCCAACCTCACTAGAGTACAGGAGTTTCCTGAGCTCTCCCAAGGAAATGGTTAACAAAGGGTGGAACTGGGGGAAGCGCAGACAGAACAAGTGACTACCCAGGGGCTCCCTAGACTCCATCCACTCCTCCACATGGGGTCCGGAGGGGAAGTGAACAGCCTCCTAACTGCCTTGACAGGGTTCCAGTCGTGCAGGCCTGGACTCTCCCATGTCCTGCTACCATAGAGGGTGACAATGAAACTCCAGACTCCTCATTTGCCATTGCTCAGTGCCAGGCCAGGTCCAAAGACCTTTGATGACACCGCCCAGAGGGTGCTCAAGGCCCATCTCAGCATAGTCACCAGTAATGTAGTGGGGAGGAGCAAGGAGGTGCTCAGGGTCTCAGTGATGAGCTCACAGCCTTCCTTTAGGAGGCCTGCAGAGTACACTCCCAGGGAACAGTGCTCAGATGGGCAGACAGGCCAACCAGCACCGAGGACCCAGAACCCAACCTCGCTCCCCTCCCACCCCCCTGTACATGAGGCTCTGTTCCACTTTGCAGGGCTTCTGCACGGGCCAGTCCCCACTGCTTCTGCAGTGAGATATCAGAGTTGAAGTGAATGTTGAAGTGAATGTTGAAGGCCGTGCAACTGATGGAGCTTACTACCGTACACACACTGTAAATCACCTCCTGGCTTCAAGGTCTGCTGTGGAGGAGACACCGTCTGATGGGAGGTAGCCCCACTCCACCACCCGTGGGGCTTGGCTGTCCTGAGCCGTAGCCCCCAGCTCCTTGCAGAGATATCTACCTGCTTCTCTCAGGGGCTGGGGCATGAGCCATCCCTGGCAAGGACCGGCTGCCAGGACAGGCTGGGAACTCTCCCCCAGCATCCTCAGCAGCCCCACCTGTGCTGGCATCTGCGCTGGTGATTTCCATAGTAACATTATGGAAGATTTTTAAAGCAACTTTCCCCCTCATTTCTCTATCTTAATAACTGATAACTTGTAAGCCCCAGCAGGCTGAAAGTGTAAGACAAATAAGCTCTTGCCTTAGAAGGGCCATAGTTGGGCAGTGTGTGCCCAGGAGGGCACCCCATGGTTGTTAGTGGAGGGTGGGAAGCTGGATGGCCCTGGCCACTCTGCCCAGTGGAAAGGAGGGCCCTCTCCTTCCAGGAAATCAAAGTCTAAAAGACCAGAAAAAAGTGCTTGGCCAGCCTGCCAGGCAGCAGAAGGCTAGATGGCCTTGCAGGCAATCCCAGGCAGCCTTCAGGGTGCCTGATAGGGCTGGGCTCATTCCAGCTTTCCTTGCTTTCATTGTCTACAAGAAAACCTGCCTGCTGGTTGGGCACGGTGGCTCATGCCTGTAATCCCAGCACTTTGGGAGGTTGTGGCAGGTGGATCACAAGGTCAGGAGTTCAAGACCAGCCTGGCCAAGATGGTGAAATCCTGTCTCTACTAAAAATACAAAAATTGCCGGGCACGGTGGCAGGTGCCTGTAATCCCAGCCACTCGGAGGCTGAGGCAGGAGAATCGCTTGAACCCAGGAGGCGGAGGTTGCAGTGAGCTGAGATCGCGCCATTGCACTCCAGCCTGGGCAACAGAGCAAGACTCCATCTAAAAAATAAATTAATTAAAAATTTAAAAAAGTTTTTATATCTTTGATATTTCACTTCGCTCATTCATTTCTACATCTCATTGAGTTTTCTATTTGTGTTTTATTTTTGTTCATTGAGCATGCTAAGATGATGATGATGATTTATTTATTTATTTATTTTTGAGATGGAATCTCTCTCTGTCGCCCAGGCTGGAGTGCAGTGGTGCGATCTGGGTTCACTGCAAGCTCCGCCTCCCAGGTTCACACCATTCTCCTGTCTCAGCCTCCCGAGTAGCTGGGACTGCGGGCACCCACCACCACGCCCGTCTAATTTTTTGTACTTTTTTCAATAGAGACAGGGTTTCACCATGTTAGCCAGGATGGTCTCGATCTCCTGACCTCGTGATCCACCCGCCTTGGCCTCCCAAAGTGCTGGGATTACAGGCATGAGCCACCGCGTCTGGTGGATTATTTTGTATTTTTAGTAGAGACCAGGTTTCACCACGTTGGCCAGGCTGGTCTTGAACTCCTGACCTCGTGATCCATCTGCCTCGGCTTCCCAAAGTGCTGGGATTACAGGCATAAGCCACCGTGCCCGGCCAAATATTTTGGATTCTTTATCAGATATGCAAAAACTTCATTTCTTAAGATTCAATTTCTGGATATTTTGCTCCTTCAAGTGGGACATATTTCCTGTCTTTTCTATATGCCCTGTGATTTTTTTATTTTTTTAAGTGATATCTGAGGATTTATACAACAGCCATATAATCTAGCATTTAAAGACTGGCTTAGTAAAGATGGGATACTGACAGCAATCAGCCAGGTTATAGATGCTGTGTGTTTCACATTCTCAGATATGTTTTCTCTGAAGTTGTGTGTGTTTTTAAGTTAAAGTGATTTTTTTTTTCTTTTTTTTTTGAGAGAAGTCTCACTTTTGTCCCCCAGGCTTGAGTGTAATGGCTCGATCTCAGCTGACTGCAACCTCCACCTCCCGGGTTCAAACGATTCTCCTGCTTCTGCCTCCCAAGTAGCTGGGATTAAGGTGCCTGCCACCACGCCTGGCTAATTTTTGTATTTTTTAGTAGAGACAGGGTTTCACCATGTTGGCCAGGCTGGTCTCGAACTCCCGACCTCAGGTGATCTGGTCGCCTGGGTCTCCCAAAGTGCTGGGATTACAGGCTTGAGCCACCATGTCCCGACTTTTTCTTATTTCTTTTTTGGATTCTATAAATTTTTTTTCTTCTTGGTGCCACCACTCCCAGCCCTGCTTTTCTTTTAAAATCCCAGGTTGCCTACTCAAAAGACCAAATGTCAGAAAGTTTATGAAATGTTAAATTTTAAAATAATTATTATAGTGTTTCCATTTGTGAACAACATATATGTGCGTATGAATAAAATTTATAAATGGATATAACCTTATACACAAGAGTTAAAATAACCCCTGGCCCAGCCCAGACAGAAAGTCCCTCCTAAAATGACTGGAGCCAAGAGCCTGTCACGCTCACCTTATTCAGTGCAATGTCTGGTCGTGTCTTCTGTCACTCAAGGCCTGAGGGCTCAGAGCCTGGAGCTCTATCCACTCAGGGCCGGTACCTGGCGGGGCCTTTGTCTCTTGCTCCAGCCAGAGCTCGAGGTTAGCTCTTCACTGCCTTGTGTCCTCTTTCCGAGGTCTCGGTGATTCGGCCACAGTCTCAGCCTCCATCACCTGATGGTGTTGGAAGATTCATAGACTCCAGGACATTCCTGAAGCCAAGAAAAGGTGGGTGTGCAGGGCAGGGCGTTTGGAGACGGGGGAGGCCTCTTTGGGACCCGCCAGAAATGGCGGTGGCGGGACGGTCTGTGAGCCTGAATGCCCCACAGCTCAGTCCTCACTCTCCTCCGGTGCAGGGACCCCGGGGCGTCCTTTACCGTTTCAGCACAGAGGCTTTAGCCCCAGCCTGTAGCCCTCTTTGCGCTGCTCTGCGTCCCCAGCCCCTTGTCTTCCCCAGGTTGTGAGGTGATGAGGAGAGGGTCGTCAGGGAAAGACGCCTACCGGATGTGCAGGGCTCCTGCGTGGAAGGAGCTGCGGCCTGTGGGGTCCCCAGTTCCTACTTTACCCTGTTCAAAAATAAACTGAAGCACCATTAAAGAGTTAATATGGCTGGGCGCAGTAGTTCACGCCTGTAATTCCAGCACTTTGGGAGGCTGAGGGGGACGGATCACAAGGTCAGGAGTTCAAGACCAGCCTGACCAACATGGTGAAACCCCGTCGCTTCTAAAAATACAAAAATTGGCCGGGCATGGTGGCTCACGCCTGTAATCCCAACACTTTGAGAGGCCAAGGTGGGCGGATTACCTGAGGTCGGGAGTTCCAGACCAGCCTGACCAACATGGAGAAACCCCGTCTCTACTAAAAGTACAAAAAAAACATTAGCCAGGCGTGGCATGCCTATAATCTCAGCTACTCGGGAGGCTGAGGCAGAAGAATCGCTTGAACCCGGGAGGTGGAGGCTGCGGCGAGCCAAGATCGCACCACTGAGCTCCAGCCTGGGCTACAGAGCAAGAGTCCGTCTCAAAAAAAAGACAACATGCACAAACAGTGATTAATCAATGGGATAGTCCCGAGACATGGTTTGTGGGGGTTTTTGTTTTGTTTTGAGATGGAGTTTCGCTGTTGTTGCCCAGGCTGGAGTGCAATGGCGCGATCTCGGCTCACCGCAACCTCCGCCTCCCGGGTTCAAGCGATTCTCCTGCCTCAGCCTCCCACGTAGCTGGGATTACAGGCATGCACCACCAAGCTCAGCTAATTTTGTATTTTTAGTAGAGATGGGGGTTTCTCTATGTTGGTCAGGTTGCTCTCAAACTCCCAACCTCAGGTGATCCGCCCACCTCAGCCACCCAAAGTGCTGGGATTACAGGCCTGAGCCACTGTGCCCCACCTTTGTGGTTTTGGGTCTACCAGAGGATCTTGAAGAAAAGGCTTCTATAAGGTGTGTGATGAAGCAAAGCACATTAATCGACTGGGTACAGTTAGGTAGTCACTTCATTTGCAGTGTCGGGGAGAAAATTTTTTCGTTATATAATCAGATTAATTGGAGATTTGTGGTTGATTAAGCCTGAATTTTGTTTTCTCTTAAGGTAGTAACTTACGAAAAATACATCTGAGTTATATTTTATTGTTGTTGTTGTTACATAGGAACCTAGACTGCTAGAGCCACTTCAGTCCAATTACTTGCTATTTAATTATTTTAACTTTAATCAGAGGCACTGGTGTCACCCTCCATTTTCCTCATGTGTGGCAAGCAGGGTCTCACATCCACTACTCTGTCCTGTTCAATCTTGCTAGTAAAATCCTTGCCAGACTTGCAGTAAACTCTTAAATTCCTGGTTTCTTTCCAATACTCCCCAAAACGAACTTCTCCCCTTCAATTCACAACATTATCAACTATTTTTGTCCTTTATTGTACATTTCAGAAACAGTATTTTAATTAATCACTTTTTCACAGAGCAGTGGATGACACTTTTAAAAATACTTGTTTTCTATTTGTAAATATTTTACGTGAGAGAAAAGTAAAGAATAATCCCCTTACATTCTACTGTCAAAAAATTTCCCACTTTTTCTCCTTTTATCTTCCCTAAGCACAAATGCCTTGCCAGGACTTATCTGAATTGAGGTTTTCCTTTGGAAACTTTATTGGGCCATGTGTCCTCAGCCACACTCTAGTCTTTTTCTAGTTTTAGAACTATCTTTAGTCTTTCTTTCTTTTCTTTTCTTTTTTTTTTTTTTTTTTTTTTTTTGAGATGCAGTCTCACTCAGTCTCCCAGGTTGGAGTGCAGTGGCACAATCTTGGCTCACCGCAACCTCTACTTCCCGGGTTCAAGTAATTCTCTGCCTCAGCCTCCCAAGTAGCTGGGATTACAGGCACCTGCCACCAAGCCTGGCTAATTTTTGTATTTGTGGTAGAGATGAGGTTTCACCATCTTGGCCAGGCTGGTCTTGAACTCCTGACCTCGTGATCCACCCGCCTCAGCCTCCCAAAGTGCTGGATTACAGGCATGAGCCACCATGCCCAGGCTAGTCTTTCTTAAGTGCTTTCTTTTATATTAGATACTTTCCACGTAATATTTAGATTTCCATAGTATTTGTTAATGTTTTTAAAGTTACTTCCTTATTTCTCTAGGCCTTATAATGTACATCTTAACTTACCAGAATCTGCTTCATATTTATATTAATTTGGCTCGGTGTGGTGGCTCACGCCTGTAATGCCAGCACTTTGGGAGGCCAAGGCGGGCAGATCACGAGGTCAGGAGATTGAGACCATCCTGGCTAGCATGGTGAAACCCTGTCTCTACTAAAAATACAAAAAATTAGCCAGGTGTGGTGTGGGTGCCTGTAGTCCCAGCTGCTCTGGAGGCTGAGGCAGAAGAATGGCATGAACCCGAGAGGCAGAGCTTGCAGTGAGCCAAGATTGTGCCACTGCACTCCAGCCCGGGCCACAGAGCAAGACTCCGTTTCAAAAAATAAAAAAAAAAAACATATTTATATTCCAGTGAGATATAAAATATTACCTCTATATGGTTATTTCCCCTGATTTAGATTGAATTAATTTCTATCAAAATTCATATGATAAGCCATAACCTCCAATGTGATTCTATTTAAAAACAGCAATTTTAGAAAGTGATTGAGGTTAAGTAAGTTTATATGAGTCGGATGGAAAAGCCATAGGCACTCAATGCCAGCTTGTGAAAGCAGCACAGGGGCTGTACTCTGCAGATTACAGGGGTGGAGATGCCTAAGACCTTGGGAGCTCACCCCTTGCATCATGGTGGCCTACATATGAGACATGGAGTTGAAGGGAATTATTTTGGAGCTTTAACATTTAATGACTGCCCTGCTGGGTTTTGGAATTGCATAAGACCTGGAGCTCCTTTGCTTTGGCCAATTTCCCCCTTTTGGAACAGGAGAATTTACCCAATGCCTGCATACCCATTGTATCTTGGAAGTGACTAAATCATTTTTTATTTTTATTTTTTTTTTGAGACGGAGTCTAGCTCTGTCGCCCAGGCTGGAGTGCAGTGGCCAGATCTCAGCTCACTGCAAGCTCCGCCCCCTGGGTTCACGCCATTCTCCTGCCTCAGCCTCCCAAGTAGCTGGGACTACAGGCGCCTGCCACCTTGCCCGGCTAGTTTTTTGTATTTTTTAGTAGAGACGGGGTTTCACGGTGTTCGCCAGGATGGTCTCGATCTCCTGACCTTGTGATCCGCCCGTCTCGGCCTCCCAAAGTGCTGGGATTACAGGCTTGAGCCACCACACCCGGCCTCATTTTTGATTTTACAGGCTCATAGGTAGAAGAGAATTGCCTTGTCTTAGATGAGAATTTGGACTGGACTTTTAAGTTTATGCTGAAATGAGTTAAGAATTTGGGGGAGCAGGCCAGGTGTGGTGGTTCATGCCTATAATCCTGGCACTTTGGGAGGCCAAGGCAGGCAGATCACTTGAGGTCAGGAGTTCACAACCAGCCTGGCCAACATGGTGAAACTCTGTCTCTACTAAAAATACAAAAATTAGCCAGGTGTGGTGGTGGGTGCCTGTAATCCCAGCTACTCGGGAGGCTGAGGCAGGAGAGTCCCTTGAACCTGGGAGGCGGAGGTTGTGTTGAGCTGAGATCACGCCACTGCACTACAGCTTGGGCGACAAAGTGAGACTCTGCCTCAAAAAAAAAAAAAAAAAAAAAAAGATTTTGGGGGACTGTTGAAAAGGGATGATCGTGTTTTGAAATGTGACTAGGAGGCTGGGCATGGTGGCTCACACCTGTAATCCCAGCACTTTGGGAGGCTGAGGTGGGTGGATCACCTGAGGTCAGGCGTTTGAGACCAGCCTGACCAACATGGCGAAATACCATATCTACTAAATACAAAAAATTAGCCAAGCATGTGGCGCATGCCTGTAATCCCAGCTACTTGAAAGGCTGAGGTGGGAGAATTGCTGGAACTCGGGAGGTGGAGGTTGCAGTGAGCAGAGATCGCACCACTGCACTCCAGCCTAAGCAACAGAGTGAGACTCCATCTTTAAAAAAAAAAAAAAAGAAAAAAAAAGAAATGTGACTAGGACATTAGGTTTGTTGTGAGGGCCAGGAGCAGAATGATGTGGTTTAACTCTGAATCCCCACCCAAATCTCATGTCAAATTGTAATTGTATTAATACAGGTAGGGGTCTAGTTGTATTATCCATATGATTAGCCTCAGCTTTACTTTTAAAACAAAAAAAAGAGCCAATTTTGAATGATTTAGTTATTTTGCTTTTTTTTTTCAGTTTTGAGAACCTGTAGCATATTTATAATATTTTAAGATTTATTAAATTTATGATATACATGAAATGAAAATATTTTGTAATAATATCACAAGTATCATTTTGTCTTATTTTGTTATGAAAATTCCTAATATATTATTTTTTCTGGACATCACAAAACTATTTGAAAATGTCGTATTTGCCATTTAGCAAATCTTCATAGAGTTAATAAAACTTTATCTGAATGGGCCGGGCAATGTGGCTTACGCCTGTAATCCCAGCAGTCTGGGAGGCTGAGGCGGGTGGATTACTTGAGGTTAGGAGTTCGAGACCAGCCTGGCCAATATGGTGAAACCCCGTCTCGCCTAAAGATACAAAAATTAGCTGGGCATGATGGCATGTGCCTGTAGTCCCAGCTACTTGGGAGGCTGAGAGAAGAGAATTACCTGAGCCGGGGAGGTGGAGGCTGCAGTGAGCCAAGATGGCACCACTGCACTTCAGCTGGGGTGACAGAGTGAAACTCCGTCTCAAAAAAAAAAAAAAACAAAACAAGTTTATCTGAATGGGGACTTGTAATATTTATTATACTTGTTCATATTGTCTTAAATAATTCAGTTTTATTATTTCATTTTGTAAAAGTTCTAAACTGGCCAGGCATGGTGGCTCACACGTGTAATCCCAGCACTTTGGGAGGCCGAGACGGGTGGCTCACTTGAGGTCAGGAGTTCAAGACTAGCCTGGCCAACATCTACTAAAAATACAAATCAGCTGGGTGTGGTGGCAGGTGCCTGTAATCCCAGCTACTCCAGAGGCTTAGGCAGGAGAATTGCTTGAACCCTGGCAGGGGAGGTTGCAGTGAGTGGAGATCGTGCTGCTGATCGCACCACTGCACTCCAACCTGGGCGACAAGAATAAAACTCTGTCTCAAAAAAAAAAAAAGTTCT